ATAAATGATATGCGATCTCAATCGATCAAATCCAATTAAGTCAAATTTAATCATTCGAAGTGTTTTAGCCTTTATTATGCCAGAAACCTTTCATACTTGCACCTTTACACAGACGTATTTTTTCAGTATTATTATGTATTTGATTGTTACCGGTGGGTGAACTACTAGATAGATAGTCCGTTCGACAGAAGTTTAGTATGCAATAGATATCATGAGTAAACTGTAACCAACGATACCTGGTTTTTGAGAAAATCCAGAGTTTTGTACAAGCCGTCTGTTGCTTAATAGTGGAATACCAATAGACTCTACTCTTATCGTGAAAATAAAGAGTCAAGGATATCAACACGTACGACTGATCACTCTACGAAGGGAGGTTCTTATACGAAAACAAGCATTTAGCCGATATCATGACAATCACAGTAGTGTTAGCAAGTCTACCGAACTCTATCTAACGGTCGACGTTTTCAAACTACCCATAATAAATACAACGCTGTTACGAACATAAGAGAGTAGAACAAACGGAACGTCGTAGTCAGAGAAGATACGAGGCTAGTAAACGCTACAACTAAACTAACGAATCGAGCAATTGACAATCGGAAAGACAAAATGTTTCTTTTGGAGTTGTCGATATAGACATTCTGTTTCACATGACAGTTTCAGTACAAGACACCCTCCACAGTCACCTTCCTCGCAAAAATCCAATACTCACTACTTTCTGATGTAGTTCAGAAAATTAAAAATCTACCACACTTTGCCATCCATTTATTAATCATCACGCAGATGTCGCCTAACATATTAGGCTTATTTTCTATACTCAGTTGAGATTGTGTTGATAAATGTCTCGACGTTTTTTGACATTTTCAACTTGCAGCGATATTTAAATCAATAAATAAACCAATATTATTGTTAGTAGAAAGCATAATATAACTAATAAAATTTAGCTGGTCTTGAATGTAGTACAAGTGACTACAAAAAGAGAAATTTTTTATATTAGTATTACTACTGTCATTGCTTATTTAATACTTAAAACTTTACGCAATAGTTGGTTAATTCAAAGTTCTGGGTTAGCTTCTGGCTATCTTGATATCATGCATTAAATTGTGCAAAACTCAATTTTGAACTTTGTTAAATGACATTCCAACTTGGGTGAAAATTTGAGTACTTCAAAAAAGAATGCAACTGGCTGCAAAATGTAAAATTTGTATAATATACGAAAATTTATCTTTACCAAATTTCTGCAAGTTATCAATTACTACTTAATACGACTTTAGCTCACTCTTTACTTAGCATAAGGCAAGAAAAAAAGAGTTTAGTTGAGTAGTTACAAAAGCGATTATAGCCGATGAAGAGATAACAGATTATGAGGCAATTACGACTAATTATAAAACAGTTATGAAATTAATATGCATATGTTGCAATTTAAATTCTCTTTTAATACTACGTACTAATTATATTAGAAAGATTTCAAATAGTCTCAGCGAATGCGTGCGTTGGATATTGTCTAGTGGGTATTCAAACAAAAATAAGGCTTTTACATATTTCCTGGTATGTTGTTAGGTCTTGAGAATGTATAGAAAAAATAGGATGTGTCAATGACCATTTTATGGCCTAAGAGAAGAAAAAAGTTGTTTGGTGCAAGTAACATAAAGTATATAACATTTGCTTTTGTCGTCAATCGATTAACCATCATTATAATAATTGTTTCTTAAGCCTTGGTCGGACAAAAGGTAGATAAATTAATTTCTGAAAATGGTAAGACTTACTGTGAAGAGAAAGTTTGCTATAAAAATTTACTTACAAAGTTCTGACAAACAAACGTTTTTCATACTTTACTATATTTTTACGACAGATAATGAGAGTGTAGACAGTAACAATGTGATAAAATATAAGAAGATGTATGATGGATATCTTATCGTCGATCGCTTAACCGTACCGTAGATCTCTTTATTTGTACGTACGTAACAGAAAATTCGTAGGTTGGAGAGTGTCTACATCAGCTGCAGTATCTGAGAAATTAATAAACAACAGTATGGAAACCACCAAAAGAGTAAGTTGAACTAATTACTAAAAATAAACCTGTTCCAAATTGCTTTTGGGTTTGCACTGAATGAACGAAAAACTTTGAGCTTATTGTAATCTATCTCTGTATTACCTTGTTGAAGAAAACTTGAAGGCTATTTCAAATGCAGTTACAGCATCTTGTCAAAACAGTAGGAAGACATTTCTCTCTCTTCTGCAAGAGAAAATAGAGAGATAATTTCGTCATCTGTCACCAATTTGTTTGTTTACGACGTTACCATCAATTGATATATATTCTGTAGCGCCTAATGCCGAATCGATTGATACTTGAAAGAAATAACACATTATTAATATTTGCAAATTTTTATTTACAGGTTGGTTAATCGAAGATCGCTACAACCCATCACTATTCGCTTAATTTACAATCACGTGATCATAGTTTATTATAAAGCGACTAGTAACTTCTACAAATCGCATTCGGGACTTCGGTAATGGAATGACGAGGTTCACTATTAAACGTCGTAATAACAATTAAATTTAAATATTAAATATAAGAAATGGTGATGTCTACTTCGATATAACGAAAATTCGGTATAACGCATTTTGGTTCGACTGTAATATTGCAATACATATACCAGTCATAAAGCCATATTGTTAAATATATTCCACGAGCTGTGTCTATGTATAAACATGGTTTTCTCAGTTTATTTTATCTTTAATGCTTTCTCCTCTGTCAAGGTCGCAATGTTTAGTTGTTTTTTTTGGATGGCATCTCGTCCTTTCACTCTACCCGTATTTGAAGATTCTAGCACTAGGAAATGGTGATCATTATTATCTGAATCTATATGTTTGTTTGGGTAACACATGTCTTATCATTGACTAATTCTATTGGCAGACGGTGTTTCGTTTCCGTTTCCTTTTTCCTTTTCTTTTTTCTACCATCGTACGACGGATGGTATCACCTAATTTACTACATTTTAGGTAAAATTTATTGAAATCAATGACGAATGATGCGATGCCATTATGATAATATCGATAAGCCTTTTTTTACATGACATGCATGGCATGGCCATAATAAATGTTTCTTGCTCATGTCATTGTTATCCCGCAAACGTTTTGTGCGCATTTCTAATTAACCGTCCAAGTCTTGCAAGTGCAAGAATTGTGGGTAACATTTTAAATACGAATATTATTCTTTAAATCAGGTTCATAGCTTGCATACCGAGACCGCCGAACGAAGGAAGATACTGTTTCATATAGTACGGTCTTTTCGAATGCAGATTACGGTACGAAGTTCGACTGCGAAGTAGTAACTGTCACAATGTGTTACAGACCTATGTTGTGACACTCTTTAAGACATAGGTTATGGACTCAAATTTAGACAACAGGTTCTTTCATGCTTCTTGAATTACCAGAAAATGGAGCCTTTTACTGCAAGATAATTGGAAAACCGTAGTTCAATTTTGGCATTGCTCTGAGGAGGTGAGTGGGTTTTAAAGATCGGCCAATTAATGTCTTGTACGGAATTTAAGAAATTCTTCGAAATCGATTATTATGCGACGTAAATCAGGCGAGAATTCTCAAATTCCTTTAATTGCCGATCATTGATCTGTTCTCAGTTTATAAACTTTTTCGCACGAACAGTTTTTCCAATTATTTTGCAGCAATGGAGAAGATTCCACTTTTCCGGTAAGTCAAGCATGAAAGAAATCTATTGTCTAAGTTTTGAGACCGTTAACCTATGTTCTTAAAAGTTTTGAAGCTTATACGCTTTTAAATAATCGGCGAGTGGTCGTTGAAAAAGAAAAACTCACACGTGGAGTTTTATAAAAAAAGATCACAGCCCATGTCTGTTCACCGTGGATATCGTACCCCTCAAAAGTTTTTGGTAGGTTGATTGCAGAAAGCAATGAATGGCATTGAAGTCATCAAGCTATACTTAAATATAACATCATTGCTCTTGAACCCAGACTACAAAATTTATGTTAAGTAACTCTTCAAAATATTATTACAATAAAGAACAAAGCACGCAACATACATAATCCTTGTGGATTGGGAATGCGTAATACGTTAATACAGACAATTTGAAAATACTTGTCAACAATGAAACTTATTCTGGACAATTACGGCGATAAAGGCTACTTATAAGCACTCATAATTGAAAAATAATGTAGTTTTATTTGGTAAATCTATTTATCATAGACTACCCTCATATAGTAATGTTTATAAGAATACATGCAGCGTGCAGGCGACAATGATAATGTATGTTTCACAATAATAATAACCCCCTAACTTTTATAAAGATCGAGATTCGATGACCAACAAAGTTTTTAATCTGATATTATAAGAGTATTATAATTTCTCTTAAATTGTTCTATAACAATGGAAAAGCTAACAAGGGATAGGCGTCCAAGCGAACCAAACAAGATTAATACTCTGAAAAAATTTACCGCCATATTTTTTTATACGTGTTTAATTGTTTATTTATGTTGGATGTGCTTTGAATTAAATCTTGGTGAAAAAACGCTTATTTATTCAAGAACCAATACAAATGGACTTTCTGCGCCAGGTAATATTTGATAATGCGGATAGTCTTATATAAGAATCTAATACAATACTTAATTACAGACATTATATTCGGTTCGAAGTACAAGTTTAACACTTCATGTTTATTGATACAATATGGTAAACTACAACAATTTTGAAACAAAAATCCCAATTTTATTGATTTTTATTCATGCAAAACATTCTGATATTTTTTTGTAGATGGAAATGTTTCACAATCCGATTGCCAATCTTATCTAAGCTCCCCTAGTTATGATTCCAATAGAAACATGTGGATAACAAATTTTGTTACCCAAAATTTCACGTTTCTTGATCCCACGCACTATAACTATAACCAAAGCATTGTTCGTAGTATAAGGTTTGAATTTTCCATACATAATAATAATGCTGTATATCCATTTGCCGAAAATGCAAACATGTGGGCATTCTTATTTGACCGAGGTAAGTGTACTTTTCAGGTGGTGCTAATTAATATTAATGAGTATTATTTTTACTAACGTAACCCCTATAAAATTAAAAATATAGAGTCAAGCATTGCTTCTGAAAATGGTTTAGTGTCTAATACTATTGCGAATGATGCTGACTCTACAATATATTCGAATATCTATACACTTGGTAAAGGCCAGGTAAATATTAATTGAAAGTAAATTATGATGCATAACTCTAAATATAAAACCCTTTGTCTCGTCTTTGTTTAGCACAACGTTTTCAAAATAGAGCGGACTATCCATAAGTATATTATTCCAAGTGTACAAAACGTTCTTATTGGAAGACCTCATTTTGCAACCTTGCCCACGTTGAGTAGTACATTTGGTATGTATTTCTACTCATAGTAATATTTACAAGTACAACTTTCTCATTCTCTAACAAAATTACAGCATCATATCCACTTCTTAGTGTCAATAATAGCATCTACGCACGCGTTTCCGTGGAGCCTTCCTCCTATATAATCAATACTGAAACAGAAAAATCGTAAGTAGAATAATAACAATGTGTGTTTTTGCTACTCATACATAAAAATTAAGATATCACTTAATTATTTAGAAATTTGACATTACTCGACGTATTAAGCGCCTTAGGAGGTATGTATGCTTTAATTGTAGCGCTATATGGACTATTATATGGTAAGTGAATCTACTTGTTACCCCATTTTCAAACATATATTTATTACGGTACGATAATAACAATAATTCTGGCCCCCTCTTTGGCAGGTGATAGAGCCCTAGAGCCTTGGGGTTGGGTTCAACGCATACAGTTAAAGCGCATAGGTTGTGGTTTTCGCGAATCAGTTATTGATAAATTAGCCAGTATCGCTTACTGGGCTGTGGATAGAAATACGAAACTTGACGAAGGAAAGAATAAACGAAACGCAGTTAGCAGAGACATAGAGAGTGCAGAAGAGGACACAGAGGAGAGCACAGTCAATGGGGATGAAGAGACTATCAATGGCGAAAACGAAGAAGAGTGTACATATACAGTAGAAGAGCTTTATTGTAAATTTAAAACCATGCAAAAACGACAAAAGGCATTGGAGGACTTCTTAAAGGATTATGTTGTAGATGTAAAATTTTATGATAAGCATCATAAGCAGGCTAACAGTATAGGTAGTAGTAACAACAATAATAAAGAATGATGGGTTGAGGATTTTTCCAATTTGATTGATATAGTAAAAAGACTTGAATGGGTTACCTGCCGAAAACCATTGATATTAATATGGTATAGAGCCAGCTCAAATTGATAGCATTCATAGTCACCAAATATATGATACCAATACTGGTAATTTATATCGACTATCACGCACAAATATACATACGTTATGCTAATCTATTTGAGTTGTAAAATGTTAACATTGAAACAAGCAGAATGAATCTTATCAAAATTTTGGTGTCAAAACGACGAATTCAAGGACGCAAATGATGTTTATAAATTTACTCTACTTTATAGACGCAGTAGAGATGGTAATGCAATTGCAAAATTTAGAAAATTACGTAATGACAAAGGTACTGAAGAAATTCTTAGTGGATATAATAATACAATTTTTATGGGGGTTTAAAAAAAAGCAGCTATGTTCGACTACAACAAACTTTATGTTTGCATTAAATAAAATGTGGATAACAGTATAGTAAGTTTTATTAAAATAATGGTAGTCTATACGCTATTGGTAATTTTTAACCGCTTTCCTATTTTTGGAAGTGATAATGATTTGCATTTTGAAAATAGTATTCAATTTAAGCCTTATACCACAAAAAAAGCACACCAAACTTGTAATAAGGCTTTTACCAGAGAATTTTGAACGGACTAATTGGGAGGTGTTTTCAGTTTGCTTGTATTGATTTATTAGTATTAGACTATAATAAGTTATTATTGAGTTTACGTAGCATTAGACTGAGGGCTGTTTCTCAGAATGCTGGAATTATGTAATAAAGTGAATAAACGTTCTTACTGTATATATACTGTATATGTTATTTGTGTGTTTATAATCACTCGCTGTATGACTCACCGTTTATGACATAACATTTTTCGATACGTGTGTGGTACCTTGCATATTTTATCTAACTATTACAAGATCAGTTTAATATGTAAAAAAAAGCCCCCAAAATTGTCCAATAATAATGCATTGTGTAATGACAAATTTTATCTAAACTAGTGTTACTTATGTTGGTCAGCAGCACCCTTTTTTTCGTATTGTCGCGGCCTTCTGACTGTTACAAATGCTCCCAGTTATAAGTCTTATTCAAACCGAATATTTTCTCATTTCATTAATTATGTTGTATTGCAAAGGTTATCCTGGTCTACGTTAAATAAAAAGCGTTATAAACGCTTTGTAACAAGTAAATTTTTAAGTTCAACTATCTTGAAATGCAATGCTTACAACACCGCGTTGTCTCTCTTATATCATGTTTAAATGTCCCATGACCTGGTCTCTTAATTTTAATGCGTGCGCCTCATTTGGTTCAATTTCCAGTGACTTGTTGAGATCAGTTAATGCATTGCGATATTCTCTGAGACTAACGTAGACGTTACCTCGCGTTCGCAAAGCACGTGCATTATTTGGCATTATCGCTAACGATTTGTTGAGATCATTCAACGAACGGCTGTATTCTTCTAAATCAAGATACACATTTCCCCTTAAAGTCAATGCGTCGGCGTGGTCGGAAACAATCTCCAATGATTTGTTTAGATCAGTTAATGCATGGTCATATTGTTTCAACATGTAATAAGTCTCACCCCTAAACATTAATGCCATATCATCGTTCGGATCAATCTCCAATGATTTGTTGAGATCTTTTAGGGAATTTTCGTACTGCTTAAGATGACAATAAATATGTCCCCGTACACTCAATGCAAATTCATCATTCGGATCAATTGCTTAATGCACGCTCACTCTGTTTGAGTCTGTTATAAAAATATCCTCTTACAGACAATGCAAGCACGTTATCTTGTTCGACTTCCAATGCTTTGTTAACATCATCCAAAACATTATCATACTGTTCATTCATTGTATAAACAAAAGCCCTTATACTCAATGCCCATGCATCATTTGGTTCAATGTCTAACGATTTGTTGAAATCAATTAATGACTTGTCATATTGTTTTAGATTTACATAGACACCTCCCCTTTGACTCAATGTCCACGCATCATTTGGTTCAATGTCTAACGATTTGTTGAAATCGATTAGTGACTTGTCGTATTGGTTTAGCTCATTATAGACACCTCCCCTTTGACTCAATGCCCACGCATCATTTGGTTCAATGTCTAACGATTTGTTGAAATCGATTAGTGACTTGTCGTATTGTTTTAAATTTAGATAGACACCTCCCCTTCGACTCAACGCCCACGCATTATTTGGTTCAATTTCTAACGATTTGTTAAAATCGATTAGTGACTTGTCGTATTGTTTTAGATCATTATAGACACCTCCCCTTCGACGTAATGACCACGCATCATTTGGATCAATCTCTAATGATTTGTTGAGATCGTCCATTTGATAACAATACTCCAATCTCTCATGAACCTCAGTACACATTGGTCGCCTATTGGGGTCTTCATCCCAGCAATCTGAGTACAGGCCAATATATTCTTCAGGTGTTCCATCCGATGGGGGATCTCGAGAGCCCTTAAGTCTATACATACAAATCTGTAAAGGTTCAGTAAGCCCTCCGCATGGGTTTTTGCCGCTGGATATTTCCCACAGTATTACACCAAGGCTAAATATATCGGATTTCTTTCCACGTTGGTAGGAATCATCCTTCAAACATACCGGATCCTTGTACGCTGGAGCGCCATCTCCACGCGATTTGGACATTGCTTGTTTCAACACACTCGATAAACCGAAATCAGTTAACTTTGCAACGCCTGATTTGATAAGGATGTTACTCGATGACTAGAAAAACAAATGTATGCGTCAGTTTAAGAAAATATAAGTTCAAAGACATAATCGAGACGTGCGATAATATACCAAATCTTTGTGAATAATATCAAGGTCATGTAAATGTTTCAATCCACTGGTGATTCCTAAGCCCAGTTTGTATTTGTCCGCCCAAGTCAAGCTTTTAAAGTGTTTCCTCAAGTGTTCACGCAAGTTTCCACCATCAGCCAGTTCAAACATCATATGATAATTCTCATGTTTGTCTGTATGTGTTGAAATGCGATAGCGATTAAAAAGCTATTCCTTGTAATATTAAATTGATTGTCTTTATCAACATACCTTTGTATAAACCCAAAAAACGAATAATGTTAGGGTGGTTGTTCGCTTCCTGATGATGTTTTAGCTAACGTACGGCATCCATTCAAAATTAGTCCAAGCACAAAATAATGCACATCGAATGACAATAGGCTACCTCTTTGACAAATGATTGGTGCAAATCTTCTTCACAATCTCCATGTTTGTCTGGAATCAAAACCTTCACTGCAACAGTAGTGTCTGAGAAAATGCTAGCTTTTCTGCCCAAAATGTTCATGGCGATGCTTCCAATGCTCTTCTTTATCGTTGCCTTGTATACAACTCCAAATGCTCCATTACCAATAGGTAAAGTGTCTAGCTTTATGCCATTTTCTGGACAGCAATAGATTGAACCTTCTTGAATGCTTGACTCTAGCCATTTCTTATAAGATGTTTCAGACATTGTCATTGCTAGTAAAACGTGCGTAATAGTAAGCAGCTTTAATAAATGTGACACAGATTGTGCAGTGTAACATAATACTGCATATGGACACACCGAAGTGAACTTTGCATAGTTGAAGTGTGGTTGTTGAGAATGTCATTAATGATGACATCTAGTAAAGTTTTATTTCCATGTTTGATGTTTGGTTATTGGAAGTTGGTGCTTATTTGTAGTTGAAGTCGGATGGTTATTGGACTGTGTATAATAATAATGTTTATTATTTATAGCGTTTAGTTCGGTTGCATAATTCTGTTTATTATTTGTCTGTCTGCAGGTATTGGTGATGTGATCTGACGACAATAACTTCCCCGACACCGACACTTACTTCCCTGACAGTTCACTTCCCCGACAATTATTTCCGACAATTCCTGCTGAAATTATCTTAGTGCCGAAATATTGATTGGGAATAATTATCGGGGAAATGAACGGCTCCCATCTGCAAATATAGTTGTTTGGTTGAATTGAGCGTCGATACGGTGGGGACGGGACGATCTGTTTGGATTATGTCTGTTGGTGAATATCACAAGAATGTTACCTATTGGTCAAGTTCAAGAAATGGGTTGTATGGTCGGTGAAGTATAATGTGTCATCTGTGACAAACTATTACGGTTGTGGCGTTATGGTATTGATGTTATCTTTTGTTTACTGATGTAATTCTTACAATTATTGCATTGGTGCGCTGGATTGTTATGTAAAAATAGTGAGCTTACAACAAAGCTTTAAAAAAGTGGAGAAAGAAATTGACTTTGTGGACTTAAAATTATTCAAGTCTAGCAAATTGTCTGTAATAGAGGGAATAGGACTTTTCGGTTTATCTACACTGCTATAAGCGAGCGTTATCTGGAGAATGATGATCAAAATTTAGATCTTTTTTTTGCTTTTCGTTTAAACATTGTTTACAATCTAAGTAAGGCGTTCAGGCGTTACATATATGACTGTTTCGAGCATTTTTATGAGACTGAATTTACGCATATTACAGTAACTGCGATATCGTTAGCGAGGTGGTTAATTTGTTTGAATGTAATATGTGATCTGGTCGTTGAAGAATTGGACGTTTGATAAACGATTTAGGGAGGTATTTGTTGTTGTATGTGTAATTTGATTGTGCGTGAAACATGACTAAAGAAGAAAGATGATAACATTGTGAGTGGCGAAGTGTTACTTTTCATCCTTTTACGAAGATTTTGTTTGGTTATTTTGGAATTTGGAGTGGTAGTTCCAGTTCTGTGGACTGATTGATGGTAGTTGCATATTCGGATGGTTGATTTTTTATAGTCAAAGTGAAGAATTTAGAACCCCCAGATAAATACAACCCAACATTTTGTTGTTGGACTATGGGGATGCGAAATTAACAATTTTGTAGTACGTATTTGATGAGTAGTGTTGATTCGGTCTTTGTTGTACTATATAGCAACATAAACATTGATGCTGTAGATAAAAATATCAACAATATATATGTATTTTAAATATAGTGACGACAAAACTAATTATATTTTACCCGTGTGTGGTCCGAAGATAACGTTATTTTAGAGTCTGATATCAATGTTATAATAAGTATGATGGTTTACCCAGTTATTTAACATTGAGACAAGCACTTGTTTTACACAGTACGGTCTCGCGGCAGCAAAGAAATGGTGGACAAGTTTAATTAATGACACTAATATTGATAACATAGTGTTGAGTTTACAAGCGGAAAAGGTTGTAGGCGTACTATAATGATACAGGTGTGGGGCGGAGGTCTTTTTGGCGGTAACATAAGATAGTAGTAGTCACAAATATACCGTCTACAAATAATTTATGGGTTATTTACGTGTATAAATATTATACGCAAGCGTCAGTTTTACGCTTAATAGTTTGGGAGACGAAACTCAAAAGCCAGGGTCTGATCTACACAGACGTGTTCTCACTTTCAGCCAGTGTAACTAATCAATAAGTAATATTAATGTATTAGTACGAAACAAGTTATTCTGTTTTCAGGCATGTTATTTTAATCAACAGGATAAAACCTTTTTTATTAATACATTATGTAAGAATAGCATAATAATATCCTTAGAAATGCAAGCAATTTTGTCAGTCAAACAGCATGCATTTGGGGAGATAGGTTGTCTGTTTTCAAAAAGGTCATTACTCCTCTCTGCTTATAGTATTAACGTTTACTTTCAATACGTAGTTACCAACAATCACAGTAAATAAATAAAATTTGAACTGTCTATACAAGAAATACATTAATTTTAATATAAATCTCTGCAAAGCCAATTTTAAGCTTTGCTAGTTACTAAGTAAACAACAAATCTTTTCTGGACCGATATAGTCATCAGACCGTCTGAAATCTGACATATTCTCATTGGTCAACTTTGCAACTGCCCCCACTGATATTAACGTTAATTCAAATAGATGCAATATTACGTAACCATCGATTTTAACTGTATGCCTTGTACGGGTTTTCCAACTCTAGTCCTAGAATCTAATATTATTTCGTCCACCATTACATTAGACAGATTCGAATAAATATCAGTTGTCATAATTCTAATTGAGTTGCCAGATCGTTTTAAGAATTTATTAATCCTGATTTATGCATTAAAAATTTATAACTCTAATGTAATAACGTTCTTAAAAGGAAAGGATAACATTTACAAAAGCAAAAACAGTTTCAATTTTCAGCACTATTTCCACAATTTTAGTATTCATTTGATGAATAAATAATGTGGAAAGGAAAAGGGGCATCTTAGCAGGGAACCCTTCTATTATAGGAGTTTTGGATGTGGCGGCGGGGAGCGTTTTTCAGCGCAAAAAATCCCGAAATTTATAGGCAATTCAATAGGAGTAATTTAACAGTATTAAATTACGACGTAATTGAATTAGAATAAATTGTAAGGGGTTTTTAAGGGGAAAAACGAGAACCGCCGCCGAGAACTTGGGCGTATGTGAAACATATAAATTAAAATTTATTGGTGCTGAAGTAAACTAATATCGACCATAAAGCGTATTTAACACCCGTTATCATATTCACTTACGTAACCTTATCTTATTCATCGTAAAAATGTCTGTAAACGTGTTTAAATTCATGAGTGTTGAGAAATTCGATGGTTTAGTTGAGGAATACCTCAACAACTTAGAAACAAAATTTCGGGAAAAGTCTTTAATTTCACAAAGGAAGTGTTAAGCGGTGATGGCTCGCAACATTCTGCAAAGTTAAAACAATGGTTTAGGGAACACTTTGCAACTATGAAAGTAGGGGAATCAGTTTGTTTAGTTGAGAAAAAATCCGAACAATTAGTATGTGTAAAAGAGCATCTGTATAATGTAATTGGAAACCTACACAAGGAATTACAGCATGCGGGCTATCAAAAAACTTACAATTGTGTAAGTCATTTTTGAAGTTCCAATAAACTTGAACGTATACTCTCTTGATTAATGTTAATACTGATTTATTTCTCAGATACGCAAGCACTCGTAAAGCAATGTGTGCGGCATATGTGTGCAGCATGTAGTACGTGTGTAAATAGGCGACCCGTGGAGATAAGACCGATTATTGAATTAGAATTTCTGTTTAGAATGCAGGTATAAATCAATTCGCTTTTACAATAATCAACTAAAGCAAATACTGACTAGTTCTTAAGATCGATCTCATTGACATGAGAGCGCGCCCGATGGAGAATATCATTGGATAGCTCACGCAAAGGAGACCATTTTACCCGATTCTCCTGGACGAGGCCACTAAAGAGTAAAGAGGCTGGTTTTTATTGAAATTATGATCTTCGGTGCCCCGCAAATATCACATTCAGATAACCGGAAAGGAATTTGTTGCACAGATCATAAAAGGTTGATAAGTTTTTGCTCGAAGATTATGATATAAATGGTTGTCCACGTCATCCATAGTCACAGGGTTTGGTAGAAAAGGGGATGATATATTGGAGACAAAATTTTCGGCCTGGTTGGAAGATAATAAGCGTGATGATTGGAGTTTTGGATTGCCGATGGTTACATGTCAGTATTTCTTTTCGCATACACACATAATGTATGCCGTCTTACCTGATATAATAAACAATTGACTTGACTTGTATTACAGGGGCGATGAACACACAAGGACCAAAAAGACGCCATACGAACTTGTGTTTGGACAAGAATCTCGTTCTGGTTTTGTTTTGATGAAAGAGTTATACGACCAAGGCATAAGGGACGAGGAAGATATACCAGACAATGTGCAAACTGATGAGAACGTAAGGGAAGAGTTAGGAGAAAGTGTTATGTTGAGTGATGACAATAGTGACAGCAGTGCACGTGAAATTATCGTACCAGAATCTGAAAGCGCTCCAACACCTCGATGTCACGTCTAACAAATCATGATGCATTTCGGACGCTGCAGCTGAAAACATAGAAAAGAATATAGAGCGAGTGCAATTAATCATTGAAAACAGAAAACGACAAAGAACTTTCTCTGTTGGAAAATTTGTATTCCTCGAATAGAGCGGGTATTGATAAAAGATTACTTCCGTGTAAAATTCTGGAAACTCTCGACAGTGGTTATCATCGTCTTGGATGTGCCTTTGAGGTTTTAAAGAGCTGTTACATAGCTAGTGAAATGGAAAGTGTAAATGCGGAATTTCCAAAACTTGAAAATATTCCTAGCTCTCGAATATCTCTCACCGAGGCTTCTCGTTTGCAGAGCTCTGCGGTTTCTGTTAATGCTCTATGTCATTGCAAGTCTGGTTGTGTTAATAACCGCTGTGCATGTAGAAGAGCAGGAGTTGCTTGTAGCTCTCGCTTTTTCAAGAAATTGTACTAATCATAGTGTATGAGCGTAATAAAAAATATAATAATAATGACAGCATTTAATATCAATTATGTAATCCAGTGATGGCCTGTCTAACTACAATTAGGTGACATATGGCCAATAATCTCCAACTCACGAAAGAGCCACTCCAATCCTATGATTATCAACTCTTACTTTCACCTCCCAAACATAAATTTTTTGCCCCTCGAATTTGCAAACTCACTATTCTTAAGCGTTCAATCTTGGGGTAGTTATTTTAAAGGTAACGATTTAACCTCATTTTTTATTTAATCTAAGATTATTATTAAACCTAATGGTATTATTAAACTTTTTGTTTACAGAAATGTCAGATTCTGTCGAGAGCGGGAGAAAATTTGAAGATGAGATTGAAAAATGTTAAGACATAACGGTTATATACCTCGTGTATGGTAAGAATTCTTATTGAGCAGTTGCTTAATGGTTATGTATCTTTACCACTAGCTGTAAATCGGAGAATCGAAACGGCAACTTGCAGGTTATCATTTTCATGTGATAGCGTGGACAATTGATCGTTCTAACTTACACCCCGGGTGTACGATTATTTGCGTATACCCAGGGGTGTAAGTTAAGTCCGTACACTCCCTAGTGCACGAACGGATTAAGTATAGAGCAGCTTAATCGACTTATCAATTAGACTTCAAAGACTAGTACCCAGGTCAACGGAGTGCGTTTTCTTATTCATAAAGCGGCGACTATTCGAACGTTACATACCGGATTTGTTAGTAAACTTTAAGCTTAATGCAAATTCTTTCATTACGGTTCTATTTATATTAAGTCAGGAATTTATTAGAGATCTACGTTTCTTCAATACTGTAGCTATTGTATGTCAGTCGGAATTATAGAATAATGCGTACACTTAGTTGGTGTTCTGCTTCAGTTTTGTCTTATCACTATGTCAAGTATTTTATTGACTATACGAGAGACATATCGATTGTGAGGTTTTAGTTGCATGTTAACCATAATCACAAGTATACTATTATTAAAGCCCTTATTCCAAAGATGTCTGATTTATTAGAATAATTAATATTGCCCGCTTTTCAAACTCATTCCTTATTCAGACGCCAAAAATCACGAAAGTTGAAATATCATTTGCAATTAATTTAAACTAGTCGCACCACTCCTTTCCAATAACATATTCAAAATTCTTGTCGGTAAAACATACTATTGGTGAAATGATTATCAGCGAAATGGACGAGACCCACTAAACAACACTCAATTGTATATCCCATCCCGAAATCACACATAAAAGAACAAGAAACCAAATGGCCACAGATTTCACTGAATACATAGAATCACCACTTACTTATACACCCTCCTCTTCATATGAACCTGTTCAAATTCCCACTTGGCATTTAAACCGTCAACTACATAACATTCCACCCGTTTTTCCATTACGATCTTGTATCAACACACTGCATATTTTGTGGAAGATTATTATACTCCAAAAAAGCAAAATGTTTACCATATAACGAAAATATTATCTATCCACTCCAGTCGTCGTTTCCCCAAATCGATTTAATTTTTACCAGAAACCAAACATTGCTAAAAGTTTCAACATACTCTACTTGTGCAACTCAACAAAGACGCTATCCATGCCCTCAATCGAAGCAATTCCATTAACACAGAGACAATTTTCCCCCCAGTTTTTCTTCACTGCACTCTCGGAAGAAATACAAACAACGCTTTTCAGATCATCGTACTCATTCCTAACATGTTTTTAAACAAATGTCAAATTTTTTATTTTTCTATTCAGAAACCTACTACCTATATTAGTATGTACTATGTAAGCCACCAAAGCTAAATAATTTTCGCAAAATAATTCTAACTGACATCCATATTACACATGTAAAATTTATATCAAATACACAGCACAACTATTAATTTAAATGGGGGCAAAGTCCCTCATAACTCAAGCTCTAGTTACTATTGTATAATAATCGGCAAAAAAACACCCATATGAATGTCTATATCTAGCCTATCTGCAATAACTTACGATATCAGGTCATAACTAATAACTAGCGTCGTCTTTGCAGAGACTAATGGCAAGTAAAGTGGGTATTATTTTCGTAGAAGCTAGTTCGTAAATTGATGGATAATTCATATTCTTATTTCCAAGACAAAATATGTAACGAAGGTACCTATATATTAATATGTGAAAACAATAATTTTTCGTCTTGAACATTATTATATTGCATTATGTAATAATAAAGCTAAGCTATTTACCCGCACAACTTTACAACAGACAAGTTGCACAATAGACGATACCAAAATTCTATAATAACACAACAATTTGTATATTATTTGTTACACATACACAGTATACTGTATATGGTTTTACTCATGTTCGTTTTATTTTACACGAATGAGGACTGTGCGAAGACATGTGGAATGTATGACAAACGATGATGATAGAAAAGACTGATGTACAAAACAAAGATGTCGAAATAAAAATAAGAAACAAAATAAGGTGAGGGTAAATGTATAAAATATACTCCTTCAAACTTGAAAGGTATAGTCAAGTATCAAGTATATAGATATAAAATTCCCGAAAGTATACACAAAAATTATAATAAATGGCTATTTGTTGGTTAATGTGAAAAATAATCTAGGAAGTGAAAAACACGAAGAACAAATAATTATCAAGAATATGTCATAAACGGTAAGTTTATGCAGCAAATATTGGCAATAAAATTGTACTGTATGTTAATAATTTATGCGTTTGTAATTATAATATTACTCATGTTAATACTGGAGTATTCTACTATATCTGCATAAAAGTAATCCAAGAAATAAAATTTATTACACGTTGAGCAAATACGTTGTCGCAGTTATAACGATAACAGGTAACTTTCAAACATGACGTGTGTTTTAACCCCCTGATTATTTACCAAAAAATACATTTATAAAATTTTTCGATACATGTGGTACCTTGCATACTAATACTTTATCTAACTATTACGCGACCAATTTAATATTAATATGCAAAACTCCTCCCAAAAAATTGCCGATAATAATGCATTGCGTAATGACAAATTTTATTTAAACTAGTATACTTTATGTTGGTCAGCAACTTTTTTTCGTATTCTGACTGTTACGAATGCTCCCAGTTATAAGTCTTATTCAAACCAAATATTTCCTCATTTCATTAGAAAGCGTTATGAAACGCTTTGCAACAAGAAAATTTAAAAGTTCAATTATCTTGAAATGCAATGCTTACAACATCCGCGTTCGTTGTCTCTCTTATTATTATGTCATGTTTGAGTGTCCCATAACCTGGTCTCTTAATTTTAATGCATGCGCGTCATTTGGTTCAATTTCCAATGACTTGTTAAGATCAGTTAATGCGTCGCTATAGTATCCGAGCATAACGTAGACGT